AAGGAGAAATAGATTTGGGTGTCATCAGCGTACTGATAACACCCAGCAAAGGTATTCCCCATTGACAAAGTTGTCAAGTCGTGTCCAACCATGGGGGCAATGCTCATCTCCGTTACTAAGTCAAAGATCCAGTGTTGTCAGAGACTACTCTGTGATCATGTGGCCAGGATGATTGCACAGAATGCTGTTTACCGTCCCACTGAAGTGGTGCCTATTTATCTATTTGCATTTGCATGCTTTCAAACTGCTAGGGTGGCAGAAGCTGGGACTAGTGATGGGAGCTCAGCCCATCATGCAGCACCCGGGCCTCAAATTGCCAACTTGTCAATCTTGCAACCAACAGAGTCAGTGTCTTAACTACTTGAACCACTGCATCCCTAATGAAGGTACTACCTAGGGGTTATAACTTAAAGCAGTAAGAAGGTATGCCATCTTTTAGGTCAGAGAAGACGCCCAAGGAAAGTCAGTCCTATTGTTTGGTGGAAGGAGGTGGTCTCCTCAGACAGAAGTGAATTATATGTAGGATAGAACAACGTATCACACAGTCTCTATCCTGCAGCTTCTTACACTAGCCTGTTGCCTTCAAGGGGGCAAAAGGATCCTGACCCATCATGGAAGTTTCAAGTGTCAGTCCCATTGGCTGTTGTACATGGAACAAGAAGAGGTACCATCTTGTTCCTTGCCTCAGGCAGTCAAATGTCTTGGGATGGCCCTACCCTTAAACATCCAGTGTGCACTATGGTAATAAACCTGCCAGGGCTAAAGGGAGTCAAGCTGAAGGTATACAACTATGCTTGAAAACTGTCCCCCCCCCCTTTTCTTCATTTACAAAACCCATCCTTATATCGAAGTACAGGTATATTTCCATTAACAAAGCCTCTAACAATGATGCTCCTTTTCACAAAAGTCTTCTTACAGCCTCTTGCCTCCCCTTGCCTCTTCCTCCTTGTCTAGCTGGAAGTTTATTTAGCAGCACCAACATTGGGTGGGCAGAGGTGGGCTGGAGAAACACAAGACTTTTTGTGTAGGGTTGCAGCTGCACATTTGCAATAAAATTTGAGTTTGGAAAAAATGAGCTTCTGTTCTAGCCATTCCTATTGTAACTGTGAGGACCTTCCTACAACAGGCAAAGTAAATAGCTGCGGCTTCGAGAGTCCCTTACTGAATGAACAGCAAAACAGGGAGAAAGGAAAGCAGGTAAGGCTGCCTCACTAACTACCCCAGCATTTTTTTTTAACTTTTTGGTCATCAAAATAGAAATCATAAGAAACATGGAAATTGGGGGGTGGGAAGAATTCCTGGATGCAGTTTGGAAGAAGTTTTCAAGAATGTTCAAAATGTTTGTGTTTACTTAAGCAAGGCCCTACCTGACCTGGTTGTTTCATTTCACATGTGCATTTTGTTCATTTTTATTTTTTTAAAAAAAGGTTTGCTGAACTTTGTTAAACTGCTGCTCTTTTTTGTAATGTAGGAACCCATCCTTATTCTTTCCTTGTTATTTCTGCCACTGGTACCAGATTTGCTGTTAAAGAAGTAATGTGCAGGAACACATCTACTTCATTAACTGAGACATACATGTAGTTAAGTTTCAAGGTTTTGAAGGGCTTTAGCCTTTTTGTATCAAAGAACAATGCTTTTTGGCAACAGTTAAAAATCTCTTCTTTTTTAGCACAGGCCTTTTGGGTTTTATTTGTTTTCATGCTGGGAATTATAAATGCCTGCAAGACGGTAATCTTTTTGTTTTGATGTCCTGTTCCTTTTGCATTGCTTCTGTGGTAGTTTTACAGGTTTTATTTTGTCCTGGCTAAAGAACAGACAGTCAATTCAAAGATGAGGGAGAAGAATAAGATACCAAGTTTTCAGTTTCTCACCTGTGCCACGTTTCTGCAGCCTCAGCCTCTTGAGGATCTCACCAAATTTCTCATGCTTGCCAAGGTTGGGCAGTTTAATATGGACGCCTGCACGGAGACCTGTGCCAAGGTTGGACGGGCAGGTCAAGATGTAGCCAAGGTGGGGATTCCACATGAATTCATAGTTTTTGGATTTGAAGAGTGTTTCAATCTAGGTGGAAAAACAAATAATTATGAGAAGTCTCTTCCTAATTCAAGGCAATAGAGGGAAAAGTCCTCCTAGTTATATTTACTTTGTACCAGGAAGGGAAATTAACTCCATCTCTTCCTGAAATTCATACTAGATGCACAGCTAGGAGAAAAATGGCTATCGGACTTCATCTCCCACAATTACTTTAGCCAGCATGACCACACATATCATGTGGCCAGAACAGCTAAGATATTTTGGAAGAGGCAATCCAAGGTATGGCAAGGCCTTCATAAAAAAACAACTTTCCACATAAATTCCTTTATTGTGGGACTACAGTTGGACTGGGAGGGAGTAATGTCAAAGCAGGTGTATGACTTCCCTGATTTAGCAAATGGGGATGCAAAGGGATCTTGTAGCACCTTTTTCAGACTAACACAACTGAATTTTAGCAAATGGGAATATAACTCAATGTTTTTATCTCCA